GCCGGCCTTCAGCTCTGGAGCTGTCCTGGTGTACGAGCGGCCTGTGCTGTGATGGAGAGACTGGCGTGGTGGCACCGCCGCCGGCCTTCAGCTCTGGAGCTGTCCTGGTGTACGAGCGGCCTGTGCTATGATGGACAGACTGGCGCCGCGGCAGCACAGAGGCTTGTAAAGCAGCGATGCGGCTGGGCTCTGCAGCTCTGTGGCTGTATTTGAAAATAAACATCCCGCGCTGTGTTAAGGTGGCTGGTGCGGCAGCAACACAGCCAGTCTTCTGCCCAGAGGCTGGTTCAGTAGTGCATCAGCCTCCGCGGGGGCATAGTCTGATATGGGGGTCTTCTGCTGCTCATGCTTCATTCTCTTCTCTCCCTTCCTGGTTCGCTGCTCTTTTTATGGGAGCTGGAGTAGGGAGCATGGGTCATTAGTTATTATTGTTTTCCAAGCTAGTCATATAACTTTGTGTTGCATTGGATATATTTTAGATTAGATTATAATAAAACAATCCTTTTTGGTATGTGCTAATACTTTCTAATAGTTACACATAATTTTCCAAATCAGTATTTCTTTTATCAGTATTCAAGATACAGTATCTGCTAAAATATAACATATAACAAATAACAATAATTTTTTGTTGGAGAATGTGAGTTTGCAGTAAAACATTGCAAAAAGTGAAAAAGAATGGGAAATGGTGGAATAGTTGTAAAATATTTGTACAGTAAGTATCATTTCTAATCCAGCAACATTTAAAAAAAAATTAAAGAGGGTCTGAATTCTTTTGCAAGGCTCTCTGTGTTGAAACATCATTATATAAGGACGTTGATCTATGACTGAAGTGTAAATAACTTTCTGTTATTTTTTTGTTTAGATTCACACTTCTCTTATCAATGGTAGGCCCAGTGCTGATGACCCATCCCCTGTCCTGTTGAACTTTACTTCTGCCCGGTACATTCGACTTTCGTTTCAGCGAATAAGGACACTAAATGCAGACTTAATGACTCTAGCATACAATGATCCTTTGGATATTGATCCAATTGTTACTAGAAGGGTAAGTTTGTAAACGTATCCTGAAAACGGGTTGGTGATCATTGCTTCTTTGATTCTACAAAGAACAGATATGCCAAAAAAGTTTGGTTTCTTAGAATAACTGCTTTATTTTTTGCTAACTGATAGAACTTAAATAGATAGTTTCAAATTCAAAATATTTAATTGAGAAATCTTTTAATTCGTATAGAAGGTTCACCTCATCATGTGTTGACACTATGGTCTGCACAATTAGTCACAAAGATCCAGTGTTTTACATAATTACCAGAATGCATTTTTAAGTAAAAAATATTAATTGGAAAAGTGCCACTCACTAAAGGCATATTAAATACCTGTGATTGTGGTATACTGTTATTGATGTTTAATAAATGCTGACTACTAATAAGTTGTTTTGGAGTTCTCTTAAAGGTAATGTAGTTTTGGAACATACTATTATATGATTATTTAAGACGCACAAGACTGAATAAGTTGTCATGAACTTTTCTAGTATCATACCTTTTTTAATCCTAACCCTGCATGCATTTAGACTTTAAAACATCAAGCCAAGTGTTCCTACTGGTTCAGACCATCAAAATGTTTACCATTTCTAATGAATTCCCCTTTTTTAAATTTAATTAATTTTCTTGAAGCATATACTTATTGATCTAAACTGTTTCACCTGCTTTACTTTTTCTATCTTTTACATATGTTGAGAGAGCATCAAACTAAAACTCTCTATGCATTTATGTTTTTAGAAAATGAGGTACAGTATTTGGATATTGTTAAGATGTTTTAGGTGTCATTTTATTTAATTTAACATTAATGATTGACCGTTATGCACTCAAGTAACTTTATCTGTTGGAAAATCATTGAATCTGCTCATTATTGAGAGTTGGTTGGGCACTGATGAAGGGTGACCCCTTGAGTGTCAAACTTTATGAAAATCAAGAAAAAAAAACATTAAGTAACCAATTTTCCCACATAACAAGAGAACACTGCCTTCTTGTCAAGCAGTGGAGACAAGTTCTCTTTTGATACTAACTCTTATGTACACCAAAGCAATCGAGGAGGTCCAAGTGTGAAGGTCTGGGCAGGAGTCTCTAGTTACTACATAACTTCACTTATAGACATCGATGGCAACCTGACTGTATGGTGATACATGAAGTCCTGAGATCTCACTTGCTGTGCTGAATGGGCTCATTCTGATGTGATAGCATTGCATCAGAACATGCCCATCCTTACGCTGCTGCTGTAAAAGGTTCCTGGGAGACGAGAATGTAACAGTTATGTTGTGGATGCTATGCACTCCATACCTGAGCAACACTTCCAGTATTGGCCAATGGCTAACCAGTGACTCTCACTGTAGACTCCCTTGTTGAGCAATCCGGATTATGACAAATGCTAATCAGAATTATGGATTCATTTATATCATGTTTGTTCAGTAAAATCTTAATACACCTGCTACTTTTTTATCTTTTTCTTGATAAAGACTTTAAATTTGTTAAAGTTATATCTTAGAAGCCTTTTGAGAGAGTTATATCTTAAATGACTTTTGATGCTTATTTTAAACTTGTTTTGTTTTGAAGAGTCTATTTTATGTTCAGTCATTTTGCTTATTTTTATTTTTTTATACAGTATTACTATTCAATTAAAGACATATCTGTGGGTGGAATGTGTATCTGCTATGGGCATGCAAAAGCTTGCCCCTTCCACCGTGAGACTAAGGTTTGTGGATTTTGTACGTTTTCATGAGGATTTTATTATAATGTGCCGTCAAAACAATAAATGCATATTAACTATTTTGTTATTTAACCTTCCAGAAAATATTATACATTCATAATAGATATTATATAGGCTATAATCTTTACTTTACATATACAGTACTTTATCATGTTATACTGTACTATACTGTATTTATTATAATATATTAAATATTATACATTTACATTCATTCCGTGTTGCATTTATATTTTAAATGCTACTATCTTCTTTAACAAACTGTTTTTTATTCAATTTGGTTCTTGTAGAAATTTAGCTGTGAATGTGAACACAACACCTGTGGAGAAAGCTGTGATCGTTGCTGTCCTGGCTACAACCAACAGCCCTGGATGGCCGGGACTTTTCTAACACGGCATGTTTGTGAAAGTCAGTAACTGCAGAACATTTTCATCCTTTATTGAAAAGCGACTTTTTCTCCGACTTAGCAAATGTGATTCCGTCTTTAATAAAATTAGAAGTTATAAAATCTGAAAGGAAAACATATCAAAACTCTGTAGGAATAAATACATATTAAAAATGCTCACAATTCTATCAGTGTTTCTCAGTCAAATAAGATAGTTCATTAATAGAGAAAATGTGTTCTTTATAAACTATCAGAAAAGTAAATCACAGTGAATAGTCATAGATTGGTACCAAATTCTTTTTTTCAAAATAAAGACATTATTTTGGACGAAAAAGCTAATTTTTTGCAAAAGCCAGAAAAAATCCTCTATGACAGGTTATAATGAACAGTGACAAAGCTATTGCATTTTCATAACCTGAAATAGAGGGCAATTAAAAGGATTTTATTAGACCATAGGATACAGTATATCTGTTATCTGTTATTATATTTTGAGTCTAAACATATTATATGCAATTTGTTTAAAAAAAAACACATATAAACTACTTTTTGAGTAAAGATATATTATTGCTTAAAAACATATTGTGGATGTCCTTTCATGTCCTAAACACGATGGACTGCCAGACATGTAACCGTTGCAAATAAATAGCCATACTATATGTATTTTTATAAAAAAAATATAACAAGGCTGAAATGAAAACAAATCTATTTAGTGGTTTGTATGTGGCATTACATCATAAAAAAATACTATTGCATACCAGTGTTGTTTGTTGTACGTCTACAGACCCATAATGACGCCTTTGAAGTAATATCATTAATACTTTATAGTGTATTAAGTACTGGTGACACAAAAAGCAAAACCATTTTCTGTATTTCTACTCACATCACATTTGACAGAGTACTTTGTTTCCAGAATGCAATTGCCATGGGAAGTCAGAAGAGTGCTACTACAATCAAACTATAGCTGAGAGAAAGCTCAGTCTGAATGTCAATGGGGAGTATGAAGGTGGTGGCGTGTGTCTGAAATGTGTCAACAACACATCTGGAATAAACTGTGAGACTTGTGTTGATGGATACTTTAGACCAGAAGGGGTAAGATGTCAGTTTCTTGTTCTTAATTTAATATTGATAATCGCTTGAAAGAACTGATAAGTGATCTCTTTATTTAGTGGTGGCACTGCTGTTGTGGTTGGGATTAACAGATGTATCGCTTATTTTTTTAGATCACCCCTGAAGACCCTGATCCCTGTGTGCCTTGTTCCTGTGATCCTTCTGGGTCTTTAAATGATATATGCATAAAAGATACAACAAAAGCTGAAGGAGGTATTATGCATTGAATTATATATATATAATGGCACATAGTTTTTTTGATTTTACACAAAAAGTTTTTGTTAAAAAGTGACTGACAGCTCCCAAGATGGGAGGTCTATATGGGGTCCCATGCAGAGCATACTGTAGGTTCTGTAAATCTTTTAACCAGCTCTGAACAGGATTCCTGAAACAGTGACTCCCAGTTGACAAAATACTACCAGGGTACTACTAGGGTTTTGATCTAGGCATGACCAGTGCTTTGCCAGACATCTGAGAGCTTGGAGTTTTGTCAGTTGGAGCCATGTTTCTCCTCTCTTTGCTCTTGACATTGCGAGTACACATTCTCACAAGTAGAAGAAAACTCAAGTTACTGTCTTTTAGATGATCCAACTGTACTGCAGAAACACAGCACAATGCTGCTTGTGTCACAATATGGTAACTTTCTTTCAAGATGTGCATGTTGGTGTCTAAGCCATGGATGCCTTACTGCCCAGACTTGAGCCCTACTGAACATGATTGCAATGAACTAAATGACACATGGCATCCAGGACTCAGATCAGTGAACAGGCACATGTTTGCTAAGGTGCAACAAGAGCAATTGAACAGAATCCCACAGCGCAGCATATAATAGTGCATGCAGCAGTGGCTACACACTACTACCCCACAAGCTTTAGAGTACACCCACTGTTGATGATGAATGTTAAACAGCATGCTGTTTTATCACATCTCTTCAATAGAATGACTTTGAACCTGCTACAAAAAGATATTGTCCATTTCTTGTTAATAATATGTGAATTTGTTAACAACTATAAACAATGTGTCTTTACTCTTTAATCAGTTTGAAAGGTGTTGTAGATCCATTTATTGTGCCACAAAGTACCTTACCATGTAAACAAAAACATAACATGTATAAAGTTAAAAATAATAAACATTTAGATGTCTGGGTGTAGATTTCTATAGGTGTGTGTTATTGTGCATCAAAATTGTATTTATGGCAACATAAAGTACTGCATGTACATGCAGGTGTAGAGACAATTGCTAAGCATGGATCCACAGTTGTGACGTGTATTTTAATTCAATTACACTTGTAGAAATGTAATGTGTAAGACTGGAAGAACAAACATGCAGTAGTTTGGAACTGTGTGTAATATACTGTAACATACAGTATGCTAAACTTTAGGCATTATACAAAACCCTGGTGAAATTTCTCTGTAAACTGAAAAGTTAAAGAGGAGACACTTGTGTATCGCCTGCTTTTAAACTTGTTAATGCAGCACGGAAGATATTAATAAAGTAGGGCTTCCGGGCTCACCTGGGTTTGCGCCCTACACCCTGCGGTACCGCTGTGTACATACAGTACGAACATATTATGATATTCAGAAATATAAAAAATGTCAATATAGTGTCCATAATATTTGCTATTTTAGTTTTTATAAGAAATATTTATTTGTTAAAGAAAACTTATGGCAATAGCTGGATTTGAACACCCCACTTTAGGCTTATTAGTCACTCACTTAAGCCATCATGCCACAGACACAGTCACATAAAAGGCACTGAAACAGCCATATGTACACATATCATATACTACTGTACTGTACTATACTATAAAAAGTCATATACTACTGTTTGTGCTACAGTACATGAATATAATTATATTGTTATTAATTTCTTTAGAAATGTGATTCCATATTATATTCCCTATTTGTCAAATTCTAAAAGTATGTTTTGTTTACTCTGATAATAAGCGTATTCGCAGAAAAGGTTAAAACGATCACTTTTCACAAAGTATATAAACGTAATACAGTCAGAAGGAGCAAGTGAAAACATTTCCGAAATAACCACATGTAAGACTTTGATGCTTAAAATGCTTAGGGAGAAAGTGGAATACTGTTGTGTATTTTTTCTTTAAGCTACCAATACCAGCCATATACAGTTTACATAATATGTTTATGTTCCTAAATTAATATTTTTAATGACCTTCAGATGCATTATGCTCCTCTTCTTTTTATGCTCAGCTACTAAAATTTCCCTTTAGTTATAAACTTCCATATAAATATTCAATACTAAGCGGATTGCCCCGGTCGGTCATTTTGGCCAGCCCATCAGGTACTGCAGAACGCCGTGGTGGCTTGTGGGTAGTTGCATGCGGTACAGGTTTGGCTGTATGGCTGCATCTGTAACAGGCTGTATACAGTATGCTTAACTTTAGGCATTATACAAAAGCATAAAAAGTCTATGGAGTCTTTGAAGTGTTGCACTTAATATAAAAAGGTTCTGAAACTGATTTTCACCTCTTAGAGAACAGAGTATTATCCTTAACTGCAAAAATTATTTGTTTTATATGATAGATAGAAAATCTAATTCTATCTTCTCTAGTGAGCTTCTCTAGTGTTAGATATAATATCTCTAAACGCAGATTTGAAAGGTTTGTGAATTGTATTTAGCAATCAAATAATGTATTTCCCCACATTTTATTGTCATTCATAGTTTAATATTGATGTTTCATTAAATTTGAATATATATTACTAATTTGGGTTTGTTTAAAAAATAACACAGCAATAACAAACAAACATTGTATGTACATTATATAAAAGTATGCAATTGTTTTTCAGTTCCTCTTCATTTTTTTACCAAAAATGTCATTACATTTTTTTCATACACAATAAAAAGTAAAAGAAGGGAAACAGATGGTTGAGCACTTTGCCATGAAATAACTTTATTGTGAGCTTGCAGTACATTATTAGTAATCTAAGAAAACATACTTTATTGGTCTTAATATTTTGATATGTAGTTATTTGTAGTTCAAAAGCATAATTTGCATATATGTTCCATTGAAATAAAATATACTTAACTATCTGAACTAACTGAACTATATGAACTACTGTATACTGTATTTTTTATTAAATCTAGCTTTTCCCTTTATTAAAACTAACCTTTATAAAGTGTTTTTAAAAAGTTGCTACATTTTTTAAAAATATAATTCATCATGATATGTAGAGCACTGGTATTGTAAAACATTTAGATTTTCAGTATTTATTCCTACATTCATAACTGCTGTGCAGGTATTGTTCCAAGTACCAGAGAACAGATCTACTCTTTCATTTCCACACCAGATCTCAATGCAGGCTCCTGCTATTGCAAGCCTGGCTATAGTGGCGAACAATGCGACAGATGTGCTTTTGGTTACATTGGCTTTCCGTCCTGCATCCTCTGCAACTGCAGCACTGAAGGGAGCCTGAATGAAAATCCTTGTGAAGAGCCATGCATCTGCAAGGTAGGCAAGAGCATCAATTTAATCGATTAACACACTTAATTAAACAATCATTTAATTTAGCAACAATTTAATTACAGGCATGAGATTAAAGAGCTACAGCTGTGTATTCCATTTGACCAGAATTGCCATGGGGCTTTTGCAAAATTTACCATGAATTTAATGATGCCATCTATTACTGCTCTATAAAACATTCTACAGTTTCCTGCAAGAACGTCTCTGTTCCCTAAATATTCTATTTTCTGAACATTATGATGGGTTTTCAAAATATTGTGAAACCTGGCAAGCTAGGAACAGGATAGTCAATTTCTTGACTTTATTGTCCATTGTACCCACAATTCATCTCAAGACTCTCATCCTGTTTGTCATTCAGCCCGGCAATTTGCTAATATCAGAGTTCCTCTGACTTCTCTTTTAACTTGCCAATGAGGGACTTTAAGTTGTGATCATATGAAGTCAACATACAGCACACCACACACTTGTGATTCTCAGAAAAAAGAATAATAAGTAGAGGCTATGTGTGGGCTGTAGGTTGGATGATTAAACTGTTTAAGCACACAATGGGGAACAGAGCCCCGTGCAGCTCTGACCTCGGTAGTTCCTCACACATCAACATCCCCTGCCATTTTACTCAGAATACTTTATGCAGCTGGGCAAACAGAAGTTTGAACAACATCTGTAGTTTCCTCATTTTTAGGAGTTCAGCACCCATCCAGTAGACAATAGAAGACAACAGTTTAAAGATTTTTTCCAAAGCAGAGAACAGATTTAACCCTTAGAGTAAAGAAATTGAACGCTAGAAAGCAGTGGCTCATTTTTTAAAATCATTTTATCAAGAAAACACTTGATAAAATGATTTAAAAAGAGCAGGATACAATTACAGAAAATGAATGCAATGAACCGTAAGCACAGGTAAAAAGTGATATTAAAACTAAAAGGGAGCGAAAGAAAACAATATTACAAAGGAGGTAACAGTAGAAACATTTTTATTGTATTGAAACAGCAAAAACGTGGAGGTATCTCAAAGATAAAAAAGGGAAGGTTTTGGACAATAAAAAGAACATAGCTGATGCATTAATAAGCATTTCAGTAAGATGTTTACCACGTACTAGAAGCACTTAAGATAAATTTAAAGTGCCTGGTGGTATTCCACAAATTGTACTAAAAGAGGTGTCATCCATGACTGTTACCACACCTAAGAAAGTGATGCTCAATAACTGGAAACTGGCACTCATCCATAAAAGGGTGATATAACCAAATCAATACATTACAGTGAAGTCTATTATCATATACAAGGTTATGGAAACTATAATCAGAACTAGAGGGTCATGCATCAATCCAACCGACTGTCTGTCCATTTTCTAAACTGCTTTATCCAGTACGGGGCTGTGGGGGGAGCCGCAGCCTAACCTGGCAAGCAACAGGCGCAAGGCTGAATACGCCCATCACAGGGCAGGCTCAGGCACAAGCAGCCACACCAGGGCCACATTACTGTACTTACAGAAGCCGGTTAACCTACCCGTATGTGTCTGGACTGTGGGAGGAAACTGGAGACTCGGAGGAAAGCCATGCAAACACAGGGAGAACATACAGCCTGCAGATAGTAAACCCCGGAGGTTGAACCCGGGGCCCCAGAGTTGTGAGGCAACATTTTATACAGAATTATTTTATACGAACTGCTAAAAAGGCTAACCACTGCACTAACATGGCATCCATAATATATTTAAGTACAGTCCGTATGAACCAGACCCAGCAATGCAAGGATACCACACTGCTCAAACTAGTGTATCGCCTATTTTGGAATTGTTGACAATTAGCCTTTAAGTCTAAGTTTAAATTCATGTTTAGTTCACTTGCCTGCTGAATAGCCTGGTTTTCCTTCAAAAAACAGAGCGTCACTATGATTTCATACCCATGGAGAAAATAAATAAATATATATATATAATATATATAGAATATAATATTATATAATATATATATAATATTAACAATCAAGTCAAAATAAAAAAATAAAATTATTATATTATATATTATTATTTTAATATTAATATTATTTCTGTTGTTCTGCAAGTCTTCAAGACTTGTTTTAATAACATAAATCTATGTGAGGAATATAAGTCTACCTACTGTACGATATTAGAGTAGATCACAGAAAAACACTCATTCACAATTAGTAATTTCGGTGGAAGCTTCAAAATAAGTGTAAGAATAAGAATAAGAAAATTAAATGCTTCTTTGATACTTAAATCCATGGTAATATTACTTAACTATCATTTTAAGTATTTGAGTATTTGATTTTGTATTAAAATAGATGCCCTGACAAGACAGAAGATACTTCTGACAAGTATTTAGTTGTAAAAATGAAATAATTGTTCAACTGTCAATGTAAATAAAGTGCCCTTCCTTATGACAATGATAGGTCCCAGATCTGAAACGCTATTTTCCACTTATCCACAACTATAGTAAAAATGCACGTTTTTACTGTATATGTTTGTTTACAAGAGACCCTGTGTGATGTTTAAAATGAAACACTGAGACACTGCATGTTTGTGTCTGCTCTGTGTAGTACTCAATGTCTGTATCAAGTTTCCTCTTTTTAATACAGCAGACACTATGATTGGTATTATCACAACTGAAATAAGTGATTAAAATGTTCTTATGAAAAAAAGCTCTTTAAATCTAAAATACAGAGGAAGGACATTAGAGTGAGTTATTGCAGCACTCTGTAATGTGAAGCCTCAATAATGTGACCAGATGAATCTGATTCCTAGTGCAGATTGATGAACTGATGAAAATAATCTCAAATAAACAGGACAATAGTGTGAATAAATCTTTAAAAATCAATTTTTAACCATAAAACTGTTATATGAGGTTCATATACCAGCAACAACTTAAACAAGACAAGAGTCTGGAAAGGGTTCACCAACTGCTATTTTTTGCAAAAGGCAGAGAGCCAGTTCTGCAGTATAAAAGGGAAAAAAATCATTTACAGCTTAGTGGGAGAACTTCCAGAGTAGCAATGAGAAATAATAAATGATTCGATGTGACACATTATCCAGAAAATACAATTTAAAAAATCAGCTATTTGTGTTTTTACACACAGGCAACATGCACACACTCTTCAGTTGTTTTGTTTTTTTATCGGCTCATTATTTTGATATTAACTTCCAGGACAATGTTGAAGGAGAGAACTGCGACCGCTGCAAAGTGGGGTTTTTTAATCTCCAGGGTGGGAATCGCAGAGGCTGTGAGAAGTGTTACTGCTCGGGTGTTGCAAGTGAATGCAGAGATTCCCATTGGACCTACATGGATGTAAGGAGCACGACAGACTTAACTGTCTCATTTCCTTTAATCTACAATACATTAATGATTTAAATGAAAAACAAAATCTTTAAGCTTCAAGGATGCTTTTTATGTTTAAATTTCTGATCCCTATACATAGATGTTTGTAGCAACGATGAAGAAATTGCATTTTGGGGAGAATATTCTGTGGAGACATGAGTGTGAAGCGATTTATAAAGTGCCTAACAAATTGTAATTTTTGAGGAAACGATACTGGTAAAGGGGAAAGGTTAACTCCTTAATAGCCTGCTGTGGTACGTATCATTAAACCTCTCCAAGATGAAAAATCAGTCCATAGAGGGAGGCATTGGTGGAGGTAATCTGCAGTGTGATACTGCATGACAGGTTGATTCACATCTGTCTTTGTAATTTAGTTGACCTTGAAAATTAGGTTGCATAAAAGGTACTGTAATATTTGACCTGTGTTGTCAAGAATTATCTATGGTGCACTTATAATAACATTTCTAGAAAAATACATGTGCTTTTGTAGGTACTATACGAATTATGTTGAGACTAGACAAAAACATATACAATGATTTTAGTCCCGTATCAATAGTTTGTAACCTTATTAAGAATATTCTTACAAAGCTTAACAATCATACTGTACTCTTACAGCATATTTTTGGTGTGCACTGTAATAACAAGACCTTCTTATAAGAGAATGGTGGATACATTTTAAAATCAATTGGACGACTAAATAAAATGAATTAAAAAGAGAAAAAGGTCTTACGGTTTTTGCACTTCACTTAATTTTATAGATCATTTTGCTCACGTTTCAGTTTCAAGGTAAACTGTAAGACAATTGTCGTGCTTCAACTACATTTTCTGTTTTGGATTTGCAGACGACAGACATGTCTGGGTGGTTTCTGACTGGCCAGACAGGTGGAGAGAAGGTCTGGCCTCTTCACAGTGCGTATGCTGAGTCTCAGGAGCTCAGTGTGAATAACGAGGATGCCAGACAAGTGTTGCCACCTCTGTATTATTGGAGTGCACCTGCACCATATTTAGGAAATAAGGTAACAATTCCGTTTAAACTTTAGAATTCCTGAAAAGATTAATTTCTTTGTTCAGTGGTCAGAGGTTGATACCATAATACCAACTACTTTTGATTTGATACTGTACTGTTAAATATACAGGACCAACAATTTTATTTACAATGTGCTCCCAAGTTTTATGTCATTCCAACCATTTCAATGATTTTTTTCCTGTTGAACAAGCAGCTGATTTTTCTGGGTTTTTTTTTTGGGTGTTACACATTTTTTATTTCTAGAGTTATGTTTAAAATTAAGTCGGCAAAGAATGACATTTACATTGTCTTATTGTTTGGATTTTATTTCATGAATTTAAGCATTGAAATTGCTTTGCTTCAGTAGCGTAAAATTGTATTTCTATAACGGATTTCCTCATGCCTAAATGTATATTTCTTACAAATGTCAAGAGAAAATGTAATAAGCATTGTATATTGTCCAAAATAAGAAGCAAATATTTCCTTGGCTATTGCAGTTTGTCATGATTTGTGTAAGAAGATTAGTAACTGAAGCATATGATTTTTTATGCAACAGTAATGCTCAAAGCCCTTAACAGTTACTTCTGTACATCTTAAGTGTCATGTTTCATTATATAAATTATGGCTGTTTCAACATACATTAGAGGGGACAGCTAACTTTCTAATGAAGAGGAAGAAAGCTATTTATGTTAATACTGTTGTACAGTTATCACCACATTAAAAATGGTGTAGGACTCAAGTTAGGAATGCATGTTTTATGATGTCATTTAGTTGATACTGGCCATATTTATAAGTCTTATATATTCTCGAGATGCTGCTGCCACTGTATTTTTCTAAGAAAAAAATTAATACAGCTGAATTATAAAAGTAAAGACGACTACGGCAGACTGCTTATGAGAAGGAAACAAAATCATCTGTTGATAAAGTATATTTTTGGGAAAATAATCCTACTAATTAAAAATAGTAACATTATAAAAGTTAAGTGCTTTTTGGACATAAACCCATCCTTATTTATTCAGCCTAAAGAATCATTTGCAAGGCTGCTACTCGTGTCAACAGAGAGCTATTTGAGAATGTGTGATTTATGTTCTCTAAACTTTATTTCACATTAATTTGCTTTAGGTTTGTGAGATTTTTTTAAAATATGAATTTGAATTGAAGTACTTCACTTTAAATATCATATTTCATTTAAATATTTACTATTTTTATGTATATCTAATAATATTTACTTCAAAAGTAAAACTTGTAGAAGGCCATAAATCTTCGAAAGCAAGGAAACAAGATTAAAAAAGGATCCACCAGTATGGAGAATGACAGGGCAGTTGACAGTACAGTAAATTGACAATAAATCTTTTTTTAATTGAATTACAATATGACACAACTATTGTATAGACAAGTATTATTCTGTAAGTATCTTGCAATTGAAAGAAAACACAGAAATCTCTTGCTAGCATATTCAAATAGCTACTCATCACTTTTAAACATTTTTAAAATGTAGCTTCATTACCTTCGATGCAGCAGTTTTTATTGCACTGTCTTAAGAAAGATAGTCTTACGGTTTCTTCAGTATAACAGAGTGTACAATAAGCCTAATCAAACTGCAAACAATCTCGATGAACTTTTTTAGACAAAATGTTTAGTTCTGTGATTGACTATTGTCTAGTAAGTGCTGCTCTTCACCTTAAGGGGTATTCAAAGTGAAGGGAATAGCACCAATTATATCGACTGACTCTTCAGTGAGTTGTGACCTATCATGGGTAATAGCCTATTATGATGATAAATGAACCCATCTTTCAGGCTGTTGCCTGAGTACACACTTCAGCAGTTTCACAGAAACTGGCGCCATTACCTCTCATCTTCAGATTGACAAGAATGACAGTGTTGTGAGCAGAGAATATGCATGGATAGATGCCAATGATTGTTTTACTCAAATGAATATATTTACAGTCATTTCCTGCGAGGAACATGAAATGAGTCTTTGCATTGCACTTTGCCATTCATTTAAATAAGCACTGTTCATTCCAGGCTGCTGCTCATATCATCCCTATTGTCAGGGCAGCCTCCTAATGTGCCCATTTCTGATGTACTCCAACAGGGGCAATCGGCAGCAGCCAGAACTCTGGAACTTTTGTTAGCCTGAGTGAATCAAGTATCACAATAAAATTATGGCACATTTTACTCGATGGCTATATCTGTTTAATACGTATACCCAGTCCTATGCTATCTGTTTAATGTATTATGAACTATGAAGATTTGTTTAAAAAGCTTTGTGCTCACCCAAATGGTTTTTTTTTTATCTTGCTTCAGTGACTTTTTAGAGTGGTTCAGGGAATTATTCAGAAGATTAAGTTCATGACTCACTCAAACTATATAATTGTTCACTTACATTTTTATGACTTAAATCTTTACGTGATGGAACTTTTCTTTAAAGTTACTTGATGTTCATAACTATGTAATATTAAACCTCTGAACTCTTTTTAAATGTGGCACAGATAATATTTCATAGAGTAAAACGTACACCATCAAATGAGACATTAAATATACAGTTACATATAGTTGCACTAATGCAGTTAAATAGTGCATATTAATATTAATAGTGCAGGATGATCACATTTTTGGAACTCCAAAATACTTGATCTTCTAATCTAGTTATTTCCGTATGAATTCTGTGGAATCTTTTATTTATAATTTCTATAGTTTTGTATTAAAGACAGGTCATTCATGTGCATATTGATGGTGTATTCTAAGATTGTTTTGGTGCAACTGGTGTTCTTTTAGTGAATGCTTCACGTCAGCTGTCTGCAGTTTTCTTACTGAAAGAGATGTAAAACCCATTAAAGGGGTAAAAATTCAGTGGGAGTAAAGAATGTAAAATGTCAATACAATGCCTCACCAATTAAATGGAGTTTTGAAATTGATAAGGTAATTAGTTCTTTGTGGACTTTTGTATTCTTAGGGATCAGCATAGCATAGTGAGAAAATCTCTAGACTGACAACCAGTGAATCATGGGTTTAAGTCCTTTCTGGAGGCACTGCTGTTGTACGTTGAGAGAGGTATTTAACCCCAGTTGCTCCAGGCCATCTGGCACTGTGAGTGCTGAGGGGTAGGCTCTGTGATGGGGTAGGGGAATCATGTGCTCTCTGTTCGCTGAAAATCACAGAAAAAAGGACAGGCTCTATCCCAATGAGCTGTTGTGGCTTGAATACAATCTACTTAACTGTCTGTTCTCACATGATTTTCAGTGTGTTGTTTCGGGGCTCCCAATACTTTGGTTGTAGAAATATCATTAGCATTGCCAGTCCATTATTCGGCAAGGCCTCCTTAAGATCTGTAAAGGAAATCTGACTGTCTACCCACATCTATACAACATTTATTGAATATCTTTATCTATCTTTGGTAAAGGTTTTATTAATAAACTTCCTGTGAGTGGTCAAAAGTAAAATTAACAGTTTGTTTTTTTCCCAGAGAAGCAGCTTGGGTTCTGTTTGAAGAAATACAGCAGGAGTTATGGCATTTACAGTATATGTATGTGTTTGCATGTGTATAATTTTTAGATTTGATTGTAAAAAGCAGTCTTTGCACTCTTAAAGAGCCTATAAAACAAGTCACCAGCACAGGTTACTTTGGGCTCTTAGCATTTCAGGGTTGGAAGCGCAACTTCTTTATCTTCTTTAATGTATAATTTACAAAAATGCATATTAACCTGATTTAGTATGTTTTTATTTTAGTCAGCAAAGTCCACATCTGGTGCGCATGGTTGCTCAGTACAAATGGTAGCACCACAATCTTAGATTGATTACTTTATAAGTGTTATGCCCCTTGTGACAAATGTAAGGAAATTGTTGTATATGTGATTTATTGGAGCTGATATCTCTTAGATACTGTGTCTTTTTATTGTACCTTAAGGAACTAATTAAAGGAAAATATCTGTAACTGCAGTCTATTATTCCAATTACGTTATCTATACCTTTAATTTAACATTTACCAAAAGTAGTGTATAATATGCACTGGCAAGTTAATGAAAGCTTGATGACAGTTTTAATAATTGTAAAAAAAATGAAAATACTTATTATATTATATATTATATTATATTTTAGCTTTTTATTTTAAATGTCACCTCTTAAAAGTTTCAGAGAAAAAGAACTGTAATGTACATTTTAAAATGTAAAATACATTTGAGACATAGATCAATTATGATAATTATAAGTTTTACGTTAAGGACAAAATCCATGTGTTGAAAATCAGAACAAGTAAGTAGTTGTGAAAAGAAAATGTATTGCAAGTACTATTTTGATACATATTTGAGTACTTTAATAGCTTTCAACAAAAGGGACAAAAATCACTTCTGTATGAAAAATTCATGGTAAGGGGTAATCTGATCTTTCTTATTGTAATATGCTCACAATTTCATTAGACTGTGAAGTGCTGAATATTGTTACAATTTGTTCATACATAGCACTCTACAAAAACTGAATAGTATGTCATTTATAAAGCTATAAAAAATACTTTTACACCCAAATCAGACTTCAGCAGTACAGTTCTGGACAACGTTCTGAATTTTTTTTCTTAAAATGAATGAAATATCTAACTGCAAGTGACATTTCAAGCATTTCTACGGCATATTCAACAAATTAATACAAACAATAATACCAGCATTCGGGAGGGTTCTTGGTGGAGTACGTGGTATTTACCACAGGGGTCTTTATTATGACCACTGCGCTTCTTAAAAGATATCAATTATCTAAATTCTGGTATAGTTATCAAACTGGTCACGTTCAGAGATGATACAAAAAACAGCATTAGCAAACACTGTATACATATTGCATAGTGTATTCAAAAAGCTTTTAAAAATTCAAGTCTAGGCAAACAACTGTAGAGGACATTTAATTTAGAGTGTAAAGTGTTGCATATAGGAGGCAGAAACATGTACATTAAATACAGTATATGATGAGAAATGCTGAGTTTGAAAAGACTACTTTTAAAATGAGTATGCTCCAAAAACTCCAATGGTGAGCTTTTTTCATTTCTATAGAGGTACAAATGAAGTTATGAAAGTATAACATTAGCACAGGATGAGCACGTGTTACCTACAATCCTGTTAAGAGCTAGGAGCTGGAAATTTAAAAATAGAAAATCAATTAGATTGTGATTACGAACTCAGCTGGAACAAATACCAGAAGACAGTGAGATCCCTCCAGTAACAAGGATGGGAAGCACTGCTCTAATCACTGTGACAATAATATTACACATATTGTTAAAAGCACAGAACTTAAATCAAGTTACAGTACATTATCTTAAAATTACAGTGAAGTAATAAGACTAAGCTTAGAATATTTTAATTGTATATTTTGGTCCCCACATTACAAATCAGATATTGCTTGGAATCTCTTGAGAATATGATACATTCCTGGGCTCAAAGGAATGCCTTGTAATGACAGGCTGAAGGACCCGGCAGTTTTGGCCTTGAAGAGAGAAGATTCAAGTGTTCAAAATCCCAAAAGGCATTGACAAAGTCAAATCAATAGACTTCATTGAAGTGAAATATGAACCTGAAGATACAGATGCAAACTAATGGCAAATAGGAATTTCCAATACTGTCTCACATTTTTCAAATTTATTTCTGCAATATACAATACTGTACACGGAATTGTAAAATTGTGTTTTCTATTTGATGAAACTGGCAGTTATGTTGTTTCTAGAATATGAATACATTTGGAGCAAACTGTATACTGTATAAATGAACAGAAGAGTGTGTAATTTTGCAGCATGGTTTGTTCCTAGGTTTTTAGTTTTGTGGTCCGTGTAAAAATGTGGTTGACAGTTGACAGCCACTGAGAAAAGAAATGATCACAGTTCCAGGGGTTTTTGCCTTCCAGGTCCAGTTAAAATGTTTTTTTTTAGTTCAAGTTTTACGGTGGTTTTATTTATTAAACTACTGCCCTCAAGCTGAATTTGTGAGTCGTAGTGGGTGCTGAGTTTGTTGAGCTAAGTAATACAGAATTCAGAATTTGTCTTTCTTTATGATTAAAAGTAAAATTCAGATGTTATGTTCCATTAGAAAACAGAACATTCTGAATTTCCTGCCTTGGTAATTGTAGGAATAAATCATGAGTCATTTTTGATTTACTCTTAATTGACTTTAAGGAAAGATAATATGAACAGAATTGTTTTTCTTTGACACAATTAAGAGTATAAAAGATCATCTAAAAACTTTTTGTTTTTTTTAACATCAACTCATTAAGATTTATGTAATTGTATTTTTTTTTACATTTTCATAAATTGACTGTTACTTGCTTGCTGAAATAATTACTTTACAAATATTATTTTACCACAAAGTTTGGAGTTGTGTGGAAATGTTCTATAAGATAATGTACATGACTACTAATCCTTTGTCATTCTTTTTTTCTAGATATCAGCTTACTATATGTACATTATAAATGGTTTAAATAAACCATCTCTTCATACTTTATATCAGTAATTATTGCGTATGTGAAATATTTTTTATAGTCCTTAGGTTTAGAAATGACCTCTGTTTTGTAAATACAAAAGTCAGTCATTTACTTGGAGAAGAAAAAAACTGGAGAAATTATGAAGTTATGTCATGGCTCTGATTTTTTTTTATCAGTTCCTGAAAATTCTTGAAATATTGATGTCTGTAATTTTACTTTCTTGCAGTTAGCAGCTTATGGAGGAAAGCTAGTTTATACAGTCTCTTATGACTCAGTGGAAGTGGGTGAAGTTATCAGCACCACATCTGATCCGGATGTTATTATCGAGGTAGGTACTGTACTGTTTATTGAAATGTTAATTTGGCATTAGGTAGTGCTGTGCCTTTGTGTTTAGTGTTGCTTATAACATTACTATTTTTTTATTCTAAATTATTTTCTTGCTATTTTTGTTCTTTGTTATTTGTTATTTTTGTTACACCTTTCTTACACTATTATACATTTAAAAGAAATGTGAGTGATTCATGCCCAGACAGTGTGTATAAAAATAATGTTCTTGCTGTACTTATTCTACAAAAATATAAAATAAAAAGATGAGACGTTCTCTATTGTTATAGCATTTTTTGGCAGAAAACACACCCATCTCATTTCCGTGATGCAGTCCTTTTTTACCTCTGTGCTAGATGGATAAGCAAGAGCACAAATAGCATGCAATGACCTTTAAGGCTGAAGCTGAATCTACACTGCTTCTGAAAAGTGAGCATTTTACTCGCTTATAATTTTTTAGGCATTTGGTAATCTACACTGGTTGCATATCCAAACAGTTTTCTTAAAAAGGAACAAATGTGGGTAGTGTACATAAGCTTTAATCTACATTGGAAGCACTAGGAGGGTCATCAGGTCAGTGAAGTGCCACACTCTGGGCCAATCTACGAATGTGTGCTCCTCTTAAAATCTTTTTACACAGCTGGTAATCAATACTAGTTGCATCTTTTTATATCGCGCCAATAACATGAACTGCTTAAAACAATATAACGGATACAATTGAAACCATATAACCAAGCTACATATGCAGTAGATATTTGAAGTATTATAATGAGTGCTTCCGGTTCTGTGTTGATGACATGAGGAAGGACAGGCGGGAGATGACTTTACAGGCTCAGTGACAGTTTTATTGCCCTTTTCATTTTGGTGGGATATGCTAATCATGGCTCAGGAGAAGAGCTGGGAAGGCAGAGACAAAGAGAACTGGCTGGCTCAGGGGAGAGAAAGAGAGAGTGAGGGTGTTCTTCCCCCATTTTTATTAGGGTAAACGGTGGGAAAGGGGTGAACCCGGGGTTTAAGGGGAAAGGACATGTGTGTAGTCAATAGCAAGGTGGAATCGATCTCTACAATATTACATAGTTTTGTTGTAACGGAAGAAATAAGGTTCTTGATCCCGAGATGAAGTAAAACAGATGAGTTTATTGCATGAAAGGAACAATAAAGCCGAAGTCTTGTTTCCCGCAAGAAACAACAAAACCGAAGTATTGTTCAACGTACTGTTACAAACTTTTGGGTTATATAGTGTTTTCTTCTCCGTTTCTGACGTCACTCGGCCTGATGGTAAAGAGGGGGGTTCATGGTATTTGGCCAGTTTACGATGTTCTGGACAAATGGTCAGTTCAAGATTACACCCAGGGGGGTTCCTAGCTTGCATCTGCAATCCTTATCAGTTAACCCCATTTCCTGCCATAAACCCCAGCTTGTGACTTAGAAGTCTAAACCCCCTACAGAAAGGATTAAATTCAAACCCCCGTCTTCACATCTTTCTTCAGTTTCAATAACAGAATGATGTTTTAATTACTTTATTGTCCCATAGTTTATGAAATATACTGTAAGACTCACACTGCATAGAGAGCAGGTGAAATAGGTATGGTCTCCAGACCATACAATTTATGTGATGTCATTATGTGAAGCACCACTGTGGTCATTGAGCTCTTTGTACTTCTTCACCCCAGCAATACGTTTTAAGTTGCTCACCTTTGAATTACTCCTCAAACTACATTTTTCACTGAAGACAAGCAGGATCCAAGACGTGGCTTGACACCTCGTTGTTTGTTAGACCATGACTTCATTAAAAAGTCATCCGCTACATCCGGAGGGCTTTGACTGACACAGCAAAGGGAAAACAGTGGCAGGTAGGCTGGCCAGGACCACTGCAGACATCCTTTAGTTTTTGTGATTTGTTAGGGCACTGTATTAAACTGATTAGACTTATTGTCCCCTCAAGGACATTTTTTGTGGACACACAGCACTTTTGTACATTTAAATATAATGCAAACACCCCCCACAAAAAAACAAAAAACAAAAACAAAAACATTGCACATCACTCTATTACACATGTATTTCCACATAACAACATATAACATTTATAACACATTACAGAAGATATTGCACACAAGTGGATTGTAAAGATAAAAAATTGTTTGTCCTTGCCTTTTCCATTGACAGCTTTAATGGATAGTGGAACAAAAGTTTGACTTACATTTGGGAACCCTAAAACATTTGCCAGAAGTTTGTATTCAGAATTGAGGAAGTGGGAAGGATCTGATTTATAATTTTTCCTGCCTGTTTGATTATGGCTTTTTCAAAGATTGTCAACAGGGAGTGGTGATGTTTCACTCCCATGACCTTCAAAGCTGTTTGGATGAGATGGGTAATTTGTGATCTTAATTGAGCTGATAAATTACCAAACCACAATGTTATACCATATCTGATAATTCTCTCGATTACAGTATGGTAAAAGAGTAGTATTATTTCCTGTCAAACCCCAAACACTCTTAGTCTTCTCAGGAAATATAAGCGCTGCTGAACTTTGGCGCAAACACTCTCAACATGAATTGTCCAGCACAGGTTACTGTCTGTGTGTACTCCTAAGTACTTATACTGTATGAATCAACCTGTGTGACAGGATCATTGTGGATTACTACATGTAAGTGATCACCAACTTCTATGGGATCAAAAACTATTTATTTTGTTCTATTAACATTCAGAATTAGGCTATTGTTGTCACACCATTGCACAAACCTTTGGATTTCTGACATGTACACAGATGAGCTGCTTCCTCTATACATAAAGCCAAGCACAGCTGTATCCTCTGAGAATTTGAAAATCAAGCTGCTTTGATTACTACTTGTACCATCATTTGTATAAAGTGTGAACAGAACTGGTGAGCTCACACAGCCCTGAGGAGCACCTGTGCTAATGAATGCTAATGGATAAGATGACAAAGTAAAATATCTACATTGAATTACACTGTATCTAAAATACAAAATAGACTTGAAGTGTAAAAGTATAGGACCCAGAACCATATGCTTTGTCAAAAGCTGTACACACTGCTTGGGCAGATTGCAACATTGAAGACAAAGGGCTGTTTAACAGGAGTGGCATCCTTCAGTCTTCAGACACGTGCTAAAAAAAACATGTCAAAAAGTACTGTGTTATCACATTTTTTATACTTCATGTAACATGCTTTAATTGAAGCATAAAACATAAAAAATCATGTAGCTATTATAATTCAGTTTAAATTATTTATGTTTTTCATGATCTAATTAGGATAAGTATCTAAGTATTAAAATCTAAGTATTGTGTCCAAACAGCCCATTATCCTCTCAGGAATGCTAAGACGCTTGCAGGGGTTCCTAACAGTCACAGTTTGATTGAAACCTTGTGGCTGAAGTGGATGCTAGAGGAGGTGATGCCTTGGATAAACTGTAAAATCACTTGCTGGGTCCTGTTGGCTTTCAGTAAAGTTTAGAAGTTTAGATTAAGAACTGTTTCAAAGGTGAACGACATGCGACTTAGTATTGAGAAGGAGAAGCCTACAACACAGCAGAAACAGATACAGACCAAAATCCTATTTTGCCTGCTGCTCGTGCACTTTATGAGTGTTGAATGTAATAAGCTACAGTACATGATGGCATAATGTAATAAAAATAAATCTTTGTTAATTAATTAATATAATCTATAGTAGTTATTAAATATAGTAGTTACTTGGTTTTATAGTTAACTTGGGATTCTTGCTATAGTCTTGACACTGAGCAAAATGATGAACTGGAGAAACAGGCAATAGAAACAGACTTTGGAGAAGGAACCAGTGTATATTACTGGATGTTAGAAACAGTGTAGATGCTTTGCATCTGAAAATTTCCTTACAGCATTGGATTTTGCACTGTTACAATATTAACCCATCAATTGATTTATTTATTACGTGTAAGGAAAATATCACAGAATTAAAAATGTTTTCCAAAAAAGTATACCTTATACAGCATATTTCTACTGCAACAATTGTACCTTGTAGGTCACTTTCACCTTGAAAGCCCCCATGGCTTTTAATACATAGAATACTAAAGCTCCAATGGGTGGAACTCATTTACACTGTATACTTCAGATTTATGTTTAACTTACATTTTAATTTGGCAACACCAAAATAAGGCTTAAAATTAAATATTTATTTGAAAGCTCAATGTAACATGTAGTTTGCAATCTGTTATGATGAGTAGCTTTAGCAACTAAGAGCCATTTAATAATGCATTTGAGTATGGACCTGTTTTTTTTAAAACTATTGTCTAATTATCTAACATTGAAATCTGGAATGTGATTTTGTTAACAGGCTAAGAGCAACCTTAAGCTACAGTACATACTGTAGAAGCAGGACAAAGACATATCAGAACATTAAGTGTGAAAACTGTTACTTAAAGTTCAATAGATATTGATCAATACACCCAAAGTCTCCACAGAAGATTTGTATGTACTTAAGGGTTTCATACAAAATTATTTATTCAATAATTATTTTAATGAGCTGTAGACATGATTTGAAATCTGTATTTCTCATACAAATAAGGTCTAATTTCACATAATTTCAGTAAAACATTAGAACAGGAGATACCTGCAATGCATCAGTTATATATAAATTATACTGTATACCAGTAGTAGATGCGGGATATCCCTGCTATGAAGGCTGTCTTTCAATGGTAATACATATTTAATAAGCCCTACATGTTTTACTAAAGGCATGTGCCAGCCATTTTCTACCACTCAACATGCTGTATGTCAATAGTACAGATTTCTGTAGTTCTAAAGTATTGCCCTTTCTTGTTCAGTTAATATATTAATTTGAACAATATATGTTGAGCGTTTGCTATTTTTGGAGACTTTTTGTTCTCCCTTTAAATTTATTTTGAACTGGTTGGATGGTGTTAAATAAAACCACAGAATTATGTTCATATGAACCCTGTTAGTTGTTCTTAATCTATTTGAGTCTCTGTTGAACCACTGATAGACATACCT